GTTATGAATAGGACCGACGCTCATTAAAGAAAAAAAAACAAGGTTAATTGAGATCAAGTGCGGAGTCGTTTTTCTTTCTCAATGCAGTTTTTTTGGTTCCAATTTTGTATTCTGGTGCAGTTTCGTTCCTAAAAAAATTCAAACACAAAGTTTTATTTATGCCATTGCCATCTACTATATGATAGCGCTTAACCTTTCGGTTGAGGCAGTTTTTTCCGTTCCAATTTTGTATTTTGGGTGCAGTTTCATTCCTAAAAAAATTCAAACACAAAGTTTTATTTATGCCATTGCCATCTACTATATGATGGCGCTTAACCTTTCGGTTGAGGTTATGAATAAGATCGACGCTCATTAAAGAAAAAAAATACAAGGTTAATTGAGATCAAGTGCGCAAATCAAAAACTTCACGGTGGCCTTGTTGTCATCAATCTGTAATAGTTCGTTTCTGCCCTTCGTAGTCGTTGGCTTTGGAAGAGCGGCTCACCACCGTCAAACCTAGGGTTGGCTTGGGAAACCCTTGCAACCTACACAACTGAGACATCAAATACAAAGTTTTATTTATGCCGTTGCCATCTACTATATGACGACGCTTAACCTTTCGGTTGAGGTTATGAATAAGATCGACGCTCGCTGAAGAAAAAGTACAAGGTTAATTGAGATCAAATGCGGAAATCAAAAACTTTACGGTGGCCTTGTTGTCATCAATCTGTAATAGTTCGTTTATGCCTTTCGTAGTCGTTGGCTTTGGAGAGAGCGGCTCACCACCGTCAAACCTAGGGTTGGCTTGGGGAACCCTTGCGACCTACACGACCGAGACATCAAATACAAAGTTTTATTTATGCTATTGCCATTTAGTATATGACGATGCTTAACATTCCGATTGAGGTTATGATTAAGATTGACGCACGGAAGGAAAAATGTAAGGTTAATTGGAGTCGTTTTTCTCTCTCAATGTAGTTTTTCTTTCCAATTTTGTATTCTGGGTGCAGTTTCATTTCTAAAAAAAATTCAAACACAAAGTTTTATTTATGCCATTGCCATCTACTATATGATGGCGCTTAACCTTTCGGTTGAGGCAGTTTTTTTCGTTCCAATTTTGTATTTTGGGTGCAGTTTCATTCCTAAAAAAATTCAAACACAAAGTTTTATTTATGCCATTGCCATCTACTATATGATGGCGCTTAACCTTTCGGTTGAGGTTATGAATAAGATCGACGCTCATTGAAGAAAAAAATACAAGGTTAATTGAGATCAAGTGCGCAAATAAAAAACTTCACGGTGGCCTTGTTGTCATCAATCTGTAATAGTTCGTTTCTGCCCTTCGTAGTCGTTGGCTTTGGGGAGAGCGGCTCACCACCGTCAAACCTAGGGTTGGCTTGGGAAACCCTTGCAACCTACACAACTGAGACATCAAATACAAAGTTTTATTTATGTCGTTGCCATCTACTATATGACGACGCTTAACCTTTCGGTTGAGGTTATGAATAAGATCGACGCTCGCTGAAGAAAAAGTACAAGGTTAATTGAGATCAAATGCGGAAATCAAAAACTTTACGGTGGCCTTGTTGTCATCAATCTGTAATAGTTCGTTTATGCCCTTCGTAGTCGTTGGCTTTGGAGAGAGCGGCTCACCACCGTCAAACCTAGGGTTGGCTTGGGGAACCCTTGCGACCTACACGACCGAGACATCAAATACAAAGTTTTATTTATGCTATTGCCATCTAGTATATGACGATGCTTAACATTCCGGTTGAGGTTATGATCAAGATTGACGCACGGAAGGAAAAATGCAAGGTTAATTGGAGTAGTTTTTCTCTCTCAATGTAGTTTTTCGTTCCAATTTTGTATTCTGGGTGCAGTTTCGTTCCTAAAAAAAAGTCAAACACAAAGTTTTATTTATGCCATTGCCATCTACTATATGATGGCGCTTAACCTTTCGGTTGAGGCAGTTTTTTTCGTTCCAATTTTGTATTTTGGGTGCAGTTTCATTCCTAAAAAAATTCAAACACAAAGTTTTATTTATGCCATTGCCATCTACTATATGATGGCGCTTAACATTTCGGTTGAGGTTATGAATAAGATCGACGCTCATTGAAGAAAAAAATACAAGGTTAATTGAGATCAAGTTCGCAAATCAAAAACTTCACGGTGGCCTTGTTGTCATCAATCTGTAATAGTTCGCTTCTGCCCTTCGTAGTCGTTGGCTTTGGGGAGAGCGGCTCACCACCGTCAAACCTAGGGTTGGCTTGGGAAACCCTTGCAACCTACACAACTGAGACATCAAAT